ACCTGAGCAGCAGCCATGGGGCGAAAGAGCAAGGACGGCTTGGGAGCATGGAAGTCGGGCTCAGGAAACGTAGGTTTGCTTTCTGTGTTGCATGGACGTTCCCACGATACTCTCAGCAAGAGGGATGTGCCCAGGCGAGAGAGCAGTCCTGGCATCCAACACGGCCGCCTGGACCAGGACAGCAGCAGGCGTGCACGGTGGAATCCAGCAGCCCCTTGCAGGCTAGATCTCTGCCAGCCTGCAAGGGAAAAGCCACGGTTTCCCCATGTATTTCTCCTTTAAAGGAGAATCCATTTTTAAAGTTTGTTTGTGAGCCTTTCATATATTCTTGCGACCCCGCTGTTGGGTCACGACCCGGGTGTTGAGAAATGCTGAACTAGAGGACTAGACCTGGTGAACTAGCACTGCAATTGTGCCAACCTTCAGGTGGCTGGGAGGCGGGGAGGGGACGTTTATTGTATAGCTGCACTTTTCTGAAGAAATTTTAAATGAACGAACCTTTCTGCACTTCACTAGAGAGCAAAATTTGGCGTGGAGCAGAACCCAGTGTAAATGCTGTCTGAGTGAGCGTGTGGCATGCCTGCATCCTAAGTCAATTCTCATTAACTTATAGACAATTCATTTCACCCTGCCTAAACCTGGCCCAGAAAAATAAATGGAATTAACTCTGAATTTAAACTTGGAAGAGGGTTTGTTGAAGGAAATGGGATGCTCTCTCTTCATCCCCACCTTTCTGGTTTGTAGAACGTATGTGCTGAAGGTCTTAGCAGAGCGGAGAAGGTTTGGACATTACCTTTTCTCCGACTGCCGGAGAAAGGCCTCTCCTCCCACCTCCCCCCCTTGGCAAGCTCACACCAGCACTGAGCCTTTGGCTGCAGGACAGCACTTGTCTGGAGGCTGTGAAGCTGTAACCACATACAGTCCCTGAGGGACGGATGCTATCATGCTAGGCAAACACAGTTTTATTCACATTTATCAGCTGTGGCGAAGGAATAAGGACCTGGCTTATGTGCGGTAGGACTCTGAAACAAATATATACATATACAGTCAAGCTATCTATGAAAACAAACATTGGGCAGCTGGGCCAAAACCAATATGCCTTCCTCTGTATCTGTAATGCAGCGTAACATTTCTCAGGGGCTGTATTACGTTGGCGGCGTTTAACTGCTTTGCTGTGTCGAGTGTATATATACTTTCTTGCTTTTGTTCCATTTCAGAGGAAGGTATCAGCTTTACCATCTACCACAAGTGTGTGGCATATTGGCTTCCCTGCCAAGAACAACTGCAGACTATCCTTGGTTTTTCTCCCCGATTACAGAGGAATCCAAATAGAATGACTTGAGTCGCATTCGTTCTTTACAGCTCTCCTCCTGTTGCTGCTGGCTGTAACCCGATTCCTCTCCGCTCAGAGGGGGAAGGATATTCTGGTGGTAAAAAGGCACTGAACGGAAACTCAGAAGACCTTAGCTCACCTTTTGGCTAGGCCACAGATTTCCCACGTGACATGGAGCAAGTCACTTAGTCTCACTGTCCTCTCCTCTAAAATGGGGATTAGTAGAGATGCACCGATATATCGGTCACATATTGGATCAGCACCGATAAAAGGAAAATTAACATTACCGGCAATTGGTTTTTTGGGGCGGGTGTAGCCGATAATATCACTGAAAATGCCACATGCATGTGTGTAACCGCAGCACGCACGTGACCAGGAATGCAGCCTGGCAGCTTGGAGGGCAGCGTCCGGCCAGGAGGGCTGTGGGGAGCGGGGGTGGGGGAGCAGATCAAGGCCCCCACAGCGAAGGAGGGAGTGGGGCAGTGGCAGGAGTTGCCCAGCCAGGGCAGTGAATGCGACCCTGGGACCAGGACCTGCATGCAGCTCATCCGGGACGGTGTGAGGGGAGGGGGGTGAAGGGGACAGCTCCCATCCTCTGTGCACACCACCTGGGGGAAGGCATGGGGGAGCATGTGCCCCCCGGATTTGTGTGTGGGGTGGAGGCAGGCTGCCCACCGGAGGCTCAGGGCCTCTTCCCAGCATGGGGCTGGGGTTG